CACCCTAGGTGGGGGGTAATTGGTGCCTATACAAGAAAGAGCCCCAAATATCGGGACTGGCCCTATAAAATCAGGACATCTGGTCACCCTAGCTGGGGAGCGCGTCTCTCCCCCAGGCTGGCAGCGATCCAGCTCATCCGGGGGGAGCTGTGCAGGGCAGGATGAGCTGCTGTGGCTCCATGGGTGCCCCGTTCCTGAGATCAGAAGCTGGGCTAACTTCACCATGGTCCGTTGGGCTGGTGGTGGTGCCGATTGGCACGTGATCAGACCTGAGGGCTTGCTGCTGCTGTGGCCACTCTGCACCCCAAGAGGTGGATTAGGGGGTCCTGCAGCTTTCCACCTATCTCCTCCTCTACTGCAGCTGTCGGAGCCAAGCATGAAAGCAGTACTGTGTTGCCATTTAGATTGTCATTTAACAACTTTGCCAAAAATGCTTGCTAACAATCCTGAACCCAATTTCAATATTTTTTTTAAATCACTATCTTAGCCAAAAACAGAAAATTAAGTTGTTGACAATCATTTGTGACAAGTTTGGTTTGGGGCAGGGAGTGGGCCAGTTTTCATCAGAGAAACAAACAATGCTGACTGGCTTTCCTATAGCCCTGTTACTGCTAAATAGAGCCCTCCAACAACTGGAATATGCTCGGTTTCAGAGCAGCAGCCGTGTTAGTCTGTATTCGCAAAAAGAAAAGGAGGACTTGTGGCACCTTAGAAACTAACCAATTTATTTGAGGATGTATTCAGTGGAAAATACAGTGAGGAGAAATCTCCTCACTGTACTTTCCACTTTATGCATCCGATGAAGTGAGCTGTAGCTCATGAAAGTTTATGCTCAAATAAATTGGTTAGTCTCTAAGGTGCCACAAGTCCTCCTTTTCTTTTTGTAATATGCTCATCTCCTGACTAGTGTATAGAGTGACCATATGTTGTACCAAGATTCTCTTGATTTTTTCCCAGGGAGTCAGGATAGCTTTTGCCAGCCCAGAGGTTGGGCAGCCAATGTCTTACATTTTCGCAATGTTTGTTCAACTTTCATAAAGTAAATACACGGTTAATGTGAGTTTAAAAGGCCAGGGACACGTCCTTCTGAAGAACCCGTGCAGCAGATCATGCTAGAGCTGGGAAAATGTCCAGTTTCGATGGAACTGTAGAGGCGGGGATGGATCATGTATTTCTGGCCGGTGCCCCAAGTGTGCTGCTATTGCGAATGTCTTTCCAAACAAAGACGAGGCACAATAGGGGGCTCCGGTAGCATTTCTGTGCTGCCTTCACCTAGATGTGATGGTTCTGTGCTGACTTCATTTTGGTCACTTTGTGCTTTACCTAGGAATAAAACTAGGGTTATATTTTCTCAGTGCTTGGAAACCCAGCTTATTAAACTGGATAATGCCATTGATCTAGTTACAGTATAAGGTGGATAGAGAGTTGTAACTAACATTCAGACTGACGCCCACTGTACATTTAAAACTAAAAAGTGGCTTTGTAAAAATGACATGGGTTTCCAACTCTACCGTGTCTCAGTCAGGGTGGAGCACCTTGTGAGTGTCTTCACACTAGCTCAAGGTCACAGGCTCACCGCTATCCTATATTAGTTATTTTAAATAGTATTTCTGATAATCTGACAATAATTTAAACAGTTATTTCTTTAAAAAAGTTATGTCGTATCGAAAACAACTTTCGGGGTCATAAAAAAGAAAACGGAAAGATGAAATAGGATTAGCTGTACAAGCACAGAAGGGTTCTATACTTAAGTTTGTGCGTCATGAAAACAATGAAGTTGATCAAGATCATCAGGTAACTGCCAAAGAAAATTTTTATGCAGACGAAGCTCAAGAAATGCAACAACACACAGAACAATCATTTGAAACAGATGAAGACACAAAACAAGAAATTACAACAGTTGAAACTGTATTAGCATGGGATATAGATGACATTGGCGCATGGCCGCAATCTTTAAACAACGAATTACATGCCATTATACTTGAGAAAGGCCCTGTGAGAATAAAAGGTCTTGAATATCCTAAAGACATTAGAGGTAGGAAATTCACAGAAAACAATTACTACAAAATCCTTTCTAATGGTGAAATTGTCAACAGATGGTGGCTTGTGTACTCTAAATGCAAGGATGCTGCATTTTGTTTCCCATGAAAGATTTTCAATAGTTGCTATTTTAAGATCGCAACCATGGGTATTAATGATTGGAAAAATCTTAGTCACACGTTACTGCAACATGAAAACGCACAACACCACATTGAAAGTATGCACAAGTGGTGTGATCTGAGTGTAAGGTTAAAAAATCAGACAACTCTTGATGCCCTAAATCAAAGATTGCTGGAGTCCAAGAAATAGCATTGGCATCGTGCTCTTGAACGTCTATGATTTATTGTTGAATATCTATCAACAAACAATCTTACTTTTAGAGGAAGTGTTGAGAAATTATTCCAGCCCCAAAATGACAATTTTGGGGACCTTGTACAACTGCTGGAAAAATTTGACACAGTGATGAGTGAACATCTCCAAAAAGTGACTGAAAATGAAATACATGACCACTATTTGGGACCAAGAATTCAAAATGAACTGATCATGCTAATGTGTGATAAAGTGAAAGACAAAATTGTTTCTTTGATTACTTTGGCAAAATATTTTGCCATAATTCTAGATTACACTCTGGACATAAGTCATCAAGAACAGATGTCGTTAGTAGTGAGATTTGTCACATTAGTGATTCAGCACAGATTACAGTTAATGCATCCGATGAAGTGAGCTGTAGCTCACGAAAGCTTATGTTCATATAAATTTGCTAGTCTCTAAGGTGCCACAAGGACTCCTTTTCTTTTTAGTTAAGGAACCGTTTACCAAATTTTTAGAAGTAGAGGACACGACAGGTTTTGGACTTCTTCAAGCTCTCCTTGATGAACTAAAATGAATGGGATTGTCCGTAATGAATATTAGAGGACAAGGCTATGATAATGGTGCCAATATGAGAGGAAGCATTTCTGGCATGCAAGCTAGACTGCTGGCAGAAAATCCACAAGCCTTTTTTGTTCTGTGTGCACGCCACAGCCTTAATTTGATTTTGTGTGATATGGCCAAGTTTTCTGTAGAAGCTATTTCTTTTTTTGGTTTGCTGCAACGCATTTATGTGCTCTTTTCAGCTTCCACTCAATGATGACAAATATTCAAAGCACATGTCAATGGTATTACCGTTAACCCTCTATCTGAGACATGCTGGGAAAGCAGAATGCAAAAACGTTGAGATATCAATCTGATGAAGTTTACGAAGCTCTGGTTGCTATTTCGGAAGAAGCCAGAGATCCAAAAGCTAAAAGTGAAACACAGTCATTGGCCTCTGAAATATCCAGCTTCAAGTTTCTAACATCTGTTGTAATCTGGTATGACATTCTTGTTAAAATCGCAAGTGTAAGCAAAATAATGTAGAGTCCAATGATGCAGCTTGATTCAACACTTACCTTACTAAACAACACACAAGACTTTTTAGTGAAATACAGAGAAAATGGACTCAAAGAAGCACAGGTTACAGCAAGAGAGCTTGCACAGTTCCCTCGGTGCAGAATCAAAACTTCCATGTCTGAATGTGACACAAGTTTCAAGGGAAAAACGGCAAGTGGAATATGAAGGAGCAGATGAGCCCATAGATGATCCAGAAAAGAAATTTGAGGTTGAAGTTTTTAATGTTGTGATGGATAAAGCAATATCTGCTGTTGATGAAAGGTTCAATGCCTTACAAGTACACCATGAACAGTTTGGATTTTTGTATGACATAACTAAATTCAATGAAATAGGAAAATAAGAGCAGCAAATTACAAAGTGCAAGAACCTAGAGAGCCTCCTGAAGCACAGTGATAGTTTTGATTTAAATGGACTTGACCTGTACAAAGAATTGAGTACATTGTCATCAATGTTGCCACATGCAAAATCAGTGGTGGACATAGAATCATAGAATATCAGGGTTGGAAGGGACCTCAGGAGGTCATCTAGTCCAACCCCCTGCTCGAAGCAGGACCAATCCCCAATTTGTGCCCCAGATCCCTAAATGGACCCCTCAAGGATTGAACTCACAACCCTGGGTTTAGCAGGCCAATGCTCAAACCACTGAGCTATCCCTCCCACCCACATTGTACAGTTTATTCATACCAGCAAACTTGTTGACATATATCCTAATGTGTACATTGCCACTCGCATTCTACTGACAATTCCTGTAACAGTAGCATCAGGAGAACTGACTTTCTCAAAACTAAAGCTCATTAAAAACTATCTCAGTTCTAAATGAGTCAGGAACGCTTGACTGGTCTTGCTATTCTTGCAATAGAATGAGACATCACTTTGTCTTTGTCATATGATGGCATTATTACTGATTTTGCAGCCAAAAAGGCCAGAAAGATTGCTTTTAATTAAAAACAAATCCTTGTTTCAATACCTCTTCATAGAAATTTCCAGTAAGATGTTGACAAATTTTAAAAAAATATTTTATTTGCATCATTCTGTCATTAAATCAGATTTTTTTCTATAGTACTACTTCTTGAGTGCAAGTATAGTCCGTCAGCATTACAGTGTGCTTAATTACGTTAAACTGTTTTTAATAAAGTGCATGTGGCAAGTTTTCCAATACTGTAAGCTTATGTTTGTGTTGCTAAGAGTAAGTTGGGCATGGGGCACCAGTTTAATAATCCCACCTAGGGCACCATAAATCCTAAGGATGGCCCTCCCTTCAATCCTGTATTCTGGTTGTCTAATAAATGCCAGCTCGTTTTGAAAAAAACTGTCAGGTTTTGCTGAAAATGCCTACTGGTTTCATCACCTTCTAAAGAGGTGAAGTCACCACCAGGAGTCTGAAATCATTTGGACTCACTGGAGAGCCACGATGAGAAAAATGGGTGCTGCCACCCGAAGGCCTGGAGCTGTTGGGCTTGCCCTGGGAGGACTCTGAGCCTACATGAAAGGGGACAGTCCCAGAGAGGCTATGTTTTATTTCTTTTCAGCAGGGTTTGCAATTTCCAAAGCTGACATGATGTCCCAGCTGGAACGAGGAAAAGAGTCATGGGTCCGAGATCTCCAGGGATCTGAGGAAAGAGAGATGCTGAGAAGTGCCTTCACAGGTGAGGAATTATTAAACTAATTCAAACACTGTCAGTGGCCAAAGCTGTGATACTCTACAAACACCTTAGGAGTTCTCTGAGTTCAGGGTTGTCCCCAGCAGGTGCCAGAACCTCAGGGCAGATCTCACTTATGGCTTCCTACCCACCCGGACTGACACCAGGGTGTAGCTTCCCCCCCATCCCACTGAGTGTCTGGGTGGAATGTGGAGGCAGAATTGATCCCACTGAGTGTTTGGATGGAATGTGGAGGCAGAATTGATCCCCTCCTCCCCACTCTGGGGAAAGTGTTTGGGGAAATTCAGCTCCTGATTTTTATTTTCCATCTCTCCAACACTTACTTTGGTTTGCTGTCCCCGTCTCCATCCCTCTGTCTGAGGTTTCTCTCTTTATGCCAGCAGGTGATGGGATAATGGGTAAGAACGAGGAGCAGAGTCCTCACCAGAAAGATGCTGAGCAAGTGGAAGCACGTGGAGCATCATCACGAAGGTCCAAAGGGAATGTGTCCAGGAGCCATGAGCAGGGTAAAGCCTGTGACAGGCAGCACAGGCCAGAGAGGCAGCAGGGAAACAAACCACAGGAGAAAGTTGGTAAATCCATTAATTGTCAGGGAACTCAAAAGGACCTCAAGGAAATCACCAGTCAGCAGAGAATCCTCAAGGGGAAGAGAAAAAATACATGCAGTGAGTGTGGGAAAAACTTCAATTACCGCTCAGGCCTTATTAGACATGAGATAATCCACACAAAAGAGAGACCCCATGAGTGCTGTGAGTGTGGGAAAAGCTTCAATCAGACCTCAGCCCTTATTAGACATCAGCGAATACACAGAGGAGAGAGACCATACAAATGCCATGAGTGTGGGAAAAACTTCCCTGACAGCTCAACCCTTATTAAACATCAGAGAATCCACACTGGGGAGAGACCTTATGGATGCTATGAGTGTGGGAAAAGCTTCACTCAGAGCTCAGCCCTTATTACACATAAGAGAATCCACACTGGGGAAAGACACTATAAATGCTGTGAGTGCGGGAAAAGTTTCACTCAAAGCTCTGCCCTTATTACACATCAGAGACTTCACACTGGGGAAAAACCGTATGAATGTTGTGAGTGTGGGAAAAACTTCACTGACAGCTCAGCCCTTATTAAACATCAGAGAATCCACACAAAGGAGAGACCCTATGAGTGCTGCGAGTGCGGGAAAAGCTTTACTCAGAGCTCAGACCTTACTACCCATCAGAGAATCCACACAGGAGAGAGGCCCTATGAGTGCTGTGAGTGTGGGAAAAGCTTCACTCAGGGCTCAGACCTTACTACACATCAGAGAATCCACACTGGGGAAAGCCCTTATGAATGCTGTGAGTGTGGGAAAGGCTTCACGCAGAGCTCAGCCCTTATTACACATCAGAGAATCCACACGGGAGAGCGACCCTATGAATGTTGTGAGTGTGGGAAAAACTTCACTGACTGTTCAGCCCTTCTTAAACATCAGAGAATCCACACCGGGGAGAGACCCTATGAATGTTCTGAATGCGGGAAAAGCTTCACTCAGAGCTCAGCCCTTATTACACATAAGAGACTTCACACAGGAGAGAGACCCTATGTATGTGCTGAGTGTGGGAAAAACTTCACTCGGAGCTCCGCCCTTATCTATCATCAGAGAATCCATAAGGGAGACAAACACCATAAAAACCTTGTCTAGGGATGTCGAAAGATTTTTTTTTTTTAGTTAATACTTTTGCTAATTGCCACTGTGACCTTTAAGGCTGTTTGCACGATTTGCTTCACCATCATCTTTCAACTCTCCTAGGTGAGTTGCCCACTTTTGCCTTTTGCCACTCATCCTTCTATGGGGTGGATTCTGTGGTCCTTTCTATCATCTCCATTGTCCTATGAGTCATGGAAGTGTGTGTCCTTTACCAGAAATGACAGGTTTCAGAGGAACAGCCGTGTTAGTCTGTATTCGCAAAAAGAAAAGGAGTACTTGTGGCACCTTAGAGACTAACCAATTTATTTGAGCATGAGCTTTCGTGAGCCACAGCTCACTTCATCAGATGTGTACCGTGGAAACTGCAGCAGACTTTATATACACACAGAGAATATGAAACAATACTCTGTGTGTATATAAAGTCTGCTGCAGTTTCCACGGTACACATCTGATGAAGTGAGCTGTGGCTCACGAAAGCTCATGCTCAAATAAATTGGTTAGTCTCTAAGGTGCCACAAGTACTCCTTTTCTTTTGCGAATACAGACTAACACGGCTGTTCCTCTGAAACCTGTCATTATGCAAGGCACTGCATTTAGCCGTATGGAGTGGAAATCTATCAACTGCATGAAGAAACTTGTACAGATACAGACAGACATCATCTTCCTTTCCAAATGCAAACAGATGGACATCGTACCAAAAGGACTGAAGGTCAAAAATCCATTACAATCTACATACCACACAGACTATGCTGACAGCTTGTGCCTCACGCTCTCAAAGAAACTGCGGAATCACCTGATCAAGATCCTCTACAGCAAACAGGGAAAGATTAAGAATGAGCTCTCAAAAATGGATACTCTCATAAAGAACCAACCTTCCACACAAACTTCCTCGTGGCTGGATTTTACTAAAACTAGACAAGCCATTTACAATGCACACTTTGCTTCTCTACAAAAGAAAAAGGACACTAAACTTTCTAAACTACTACATGCTACAAGGGGCCACAGCAATGGTTCCCTCACCCCACCTAGCAATATTGTTAACCTATCCAGCTATACTCTCAGCCCAGCAGAAGCAGCTGTTCTATCTCGGGGCCTCTCCTTCTGCCCCTCCACCCCCATGAACATGATACAGTTCTGTGGTGACCTAGAATCCTATTTTCGACGTCTCCGTCTCAAGGAATATTTCCAAAATACCTCTGAACAACATACTAATCCACAGAGGTCTCCCTGCCAACACTACAGAAAGAGGGATTCTAGATGGACTCCTCCTGAAGGTCGAAACAGCAGACTGGACTTCTACATAGAGTGCTTCCGCCGACGTGCACGGGCTGAAATTGTGGAAAAGCAGCATCACTTGCCCCATAACCTCAGCCATGCGGAACGCAATGCCATCCACAGCCTCAGAAACAACTCTGACATCATAATCAAAAAGGCTGACAAAGGAGGTGCTGTTGTCATCATGAATAGGTCGGAATATGAACAAGAGGCTGCTAGGCAGCTCTCCAACACGAGTTTCTACAAGCCATTACCCTATGATCCCACTGAGAGTTACCAAAAGCAACTACAGCATTTGCTCAAGAAACTTCCTGAAAAAGCACAAGATCAAATCCGCACAGACACACCCCTGGAACCCCGACCTGGGATATTCTATCTACTACCCAAGATCCATAAACCTGGAAATCCTGGGCGCCCCATCATCTCAGGCATTGGCACCCTGACAGCAGGATTGTCTGGCTATGTAGACTCCCTCCTCAGGCCCTACGCTACCAGCACTCCCAGCTACCTTCGAGACACCACTGACTTCCTGAGGAAACTTCAATCCATCGGTGATCTTCCTGAAAACATCATCCTGGCCACTATGGATGTAGAAGCCCTCTACACCAACATTCCACACAAAGATGGACTACAGGCCGTCAGGAACACTATCCCCGATAATGTCACGGCTAACCTGGTGGCTGAACTTTGTGACTTTGTCCTTACCCATAACTATTTCACATTTGGGGACAATGTATACCTTCAGATCAGCGGCACTGCTATGGGTACCCGCATGGCCCCACAGTATGCCAACATTTTTATGGCTGATTTAGAACAACGCTTCCTCAGCTCTCGTCCCCTAAAGCCCCTACTCTACTTGCGCTATATTGATGACATCTTCATCATCTGGACCCATGGAAAAGAAGCCCTTGAGGAATTCCACCATGATTTCAACAATTTCCATCCCACCACCAACCTCAGCCTGGTCCAGTCCACACAAGAGATCCACTTCCTGGACACTACAGTGCTAATAAACAATGGCCACATAAACACCACCCTATACCGGAAACCTACTGACCGCTGTTCCTACCTGCATGCCTCCAGCTTTCACCCTGACCACACCACACGATCCATCGTCTACAGCCAAGCTCTGCGATACAACCGCATTTGCTCCAACCCCTCAGACAGAGACAAACACCTACAAGATCTCTGTCAAGCTTTCTTACAACTACAATACCCACCTGCAGAAGTAAAGAAACAGATTGATAGAGCCAGAAGAGTTCCCAGAAGTTACCTACTACAGGACAGGCCTAACAAAGAAAATAACAGAACGCCACTAGCGGTCACCTTCAGCCCCCAACTAAAACCCCTCCAACGCATTATTAAGGATCTACAACCTATCCTAAAGGATGACCCAACACTCTCACAAGTCTTGGGAGACAGGCCAGTCCTTGCCTACAGACAGCCCCGCAACCTGAAGCAAATACTCACCAACAACCACATACCACACAACAGAACCACTAACCCAGGAACTTATCCTTGCAACAAAGCCCGTTGCCAATTGTGCCCACATATCTATTCAGGGGACACCATCACAGGGCCTAATAACATCAGCCACACTATCAGAGGCTCGTTCACCTGCACATCCACCAATGTGATATATGCCATCATGTGCCAGCAATGCCCCTCTGCCATGTACATTGGTCAAACTGGACAGTCTCTACGTAAAAGAATAAATGGACACAAATCAGATGTCAAGAATTATAACATTCATAAACCAGTCGGAGAACACTTCAATCTCTCTGGTCACGCAATCACAGACATGAAGGTCGCTATCTTAAAACAAAAAAACTTCAAATCCAGACTCCAGCGAGAAACTGCTGAATTGGAATTCATTTGCAAATTGGATACTATTAATTTAGGCTTAAATAGAGACTGGGAGTGGCTAAGTCATTATGCAAGGTAGCCTGTTTCCTCTTGTTTTTTCCTACCCCCCCCCCCCCCAGATATTCTGGTTTAACTTGGATTTAAACTTGGAGAGTGGTCAGTTTAGATGAGCTATTACCAGCAGGAGAGTGAGTTTGTGTATGTATGGGGGTGGGGGGAAGTGAGAAAACCTGGATCTATGCAGGAAATAGCCCGACTTGATTATGTAAAGAGTTGTCACTTTGGATGGGCTAGCACCAGCAGGAGAGTGAATTTGTGTGGGGGGGTGGAGGGTGAGAAAACCTGGATTTGTGCTGGAAATGGCCCACCTGTTGATCACTTTAGATAAGCTATTACCAGCAGGACAGTGGGGTGGGAGGAGGTATTGTTTCATATTCTCTGTGTGTATATAAAGTCTGCTGCAGTTTCCACGGTACACATCTGATGAAGTGAGCTGTGGCTCACGAAAGCTCATGCTCAAATAAATTGGTTAGTCTCTAAGGTGCCACAAGTACTCCTTTTCTTTTTACCAGAAATGTGTATCAGCCCCAGGTGGAGGAGATAGGGGTGACCTTATGTAGCTACATTGGGACAGAATCTACCTGGGCCTCATCACTGTGGAGTTAGCAAGATTTAGCGATCATGATGCACCGCTACAGACTAGGGACCGAATGGCTAGGCAGCAGTTCTGCGGAAAAGGACCTAGGGGTGACAGTGGACGAGAAGCTGGATATGAGTCAGCAGTGTGCCCTTGTTGCCAAGAAGGCCAATGGCATTTTGGGATGTATAAGTAGGGGCATAGCGAGCAGATCGAGGGACGTGATCGTTCCCCTATATTCAACATTGGTGAGGCCTCATCTGGAGTACTGTGTCCAGTTTTGGGCCCCACACTACAAGAAGGATGTGGATAAATTGGAGAGAGTCCAGCGAAGGGCAACAAAAATGATTAGGGGTCTGGAACACATGACTTATGAGGAGAGGCTGAGGGAGCTGGGATTGTTTAGCCTGCAGAAGAGAAGAATGAGGGGGGATTTGATAGCTGCTTTCAACTACCTGAAAGGGGGTTCCAAAGAGGATGGCTCTAGACTGTTCTCAATGGTAGCAGATGACAGAACGAGGAGTAATGGTCTCAAGTTGCAGTGGGGGAGGTTTAGATTGGATATTAGGAAAAACTTTTTCACTAAGAGGGTGGTGAAACACTGGAATGCGTTACCTAGGGAGGTGGTAGAATCTCCTTCCTTAGAGGTTTTTAAGGTCAGGCTTGACAAAGCCCTGGCTGGGATGATTTAACTGGGAATTGGTCCTGCTTCGAGCAAGGGGTTGGACTAGATGACCTTCTGGGGTCCCTTCCAACCCTGATATTCTATGATTCTATGATGTAAATACACAACAATTCTTTCAGTAAACAAATAGCCCATGTATAGTGTCCAGAGATATCTAGCATGTTTCCTCATGACCTGCCCTAAACTCCATCACTTTTCTTAGTCTAAACTGACCTGGAGCATCTCAATTATACTGTTCCTCCCACTGCAAAGTTACTCTTAGAGTCACCAAGTTCCCTTCTGGGGACAGATTGTCTCAGTTGCAGTTGTTCTCAAGTGGCCTTGTGTTGCGCAAAACAGCAGTTATTCTTTGTACCGTTATTCTCATTTAAAATATATTTGAATATAATGAAGAGCAGAAACATGGGCACACACACACACAAGTGTCATTTCAACCTCTATGACAGTGGAAGGATAAAGGGTGACTCAGAGGGAGTCCCTGCTTCCCCATCACCCCAGAACTGTTACCTTCACTCTGAGCCATGCACATTTTATCTTCTTCATATTCTACCCCTCCACCTCTCCAAAAATCAGGTAATGCAGTATTTTCAGCTCTCTGTGCTTGGGAATGCTGCTTTGATTTGTTTGATTTAAATAAAAAGAAAAGGAGTACTTACAATTTGGAAATTGGACACAATTAACTTAGGCTTGAATAGAGACTGGGAGTGGTTGAGTCATTATACTAAGTGAAACTATTTCCCCTTGTTTATTCCT